ATGAATCAAAAGCAACAAAACGTTCAGAAATACATAGTTCTGTTGAAGATTCCTACATGCGTGTAGAAATGGAATAAAATAAGTCGCATTAGAATGTAAATTTAAAGAAAAGCTTATGGGGCCTAAAATGTGAAAACTGAGATAAAGGGATAAAAAAACTGTGTTACCTCCAGACAACATATACAAGGAAGAATATCAGTGAAACCACAGTGATATATGAACAGACAATTAAAAGAAAGAAATCCCAAACAAATAAGTACAAGAATTTATTGCTGTTCATTTATTTACAATTCAAAAATAAGTAATTCAATTAAAAGTGCACCAGGGTACAGAGACACTCAGTCCAAAAATCAAAAGCAGTTGAGTGATAACTCTTTACGAAACTAAGTAAATTATGTGTCGCAGAAGAGAGTCCTGGACCTGCAAATACAATGAACATCAATCAGTTAGTGCACAGTCAAAATACACACACATAAGCACACACTTTTCAAGAATATCTGTGTACACACCTACAACTTTCAGTTAAATGGCAAAGAGAAAGAAAGAAAAGAGCAGGACGGATCATGACCTCACCTTCTCAGACCAGGGGGAAGCTGGCTGCAGTAGCAATGCCACACTGGTTTCCTCTGTTCCTTCTCATTTTGATGTATCCCTGGTCTCCCCAGGCTGTACCCCAGCTACACAAACACACATCACCAACCATATTCAGCTGCATGACATAAAACGGAATCATTGTCTCACCCTGGCTGAGATTCACTTCATTTAAGTTGAGCTTACTAGTGGTAATAGCTGTAACATAAAGGGGAGGAGCCCACAATTCAATATATTTGTGTATCTACCTGTTCTTAACCAGCCAATAGTCTTGTCCGGATTCAGTGCCGTAACCCACAATGAGTACAGCATGGTCCAATGCTGTGCTGCTGCAATCCGTCTCATCATACACTCCTGGAAACAAGCATATATTAGTCACATTCACTTGTATGATAAATACATAGTTGTTCACATTTCTTCCAGAGTTTGAAAAGGATGTAATATGGACCTGATTCGTATAACTGGAAAGATGGATTAGAAGCATCGATGGCCACAGACACGGGTCCAACAGTAGCCACAGCCTCCTTCAGGTCACTCTCATTACCCTGTTCTATATCAACGTAGCCAGTGCATTTGGTAGCGATGCTGGCAGGGTTGTAACGGCACTCTCCGTCCTAATTCAGAGACAACATTATAATAATATTAATAACTTTATTAATGTGGCACATTTCAAAATAGGCAATACAAAGTACTTCACAAAGAGAACAAAGAAGAACAACAACAGGAAATATCAAACACAAGAAGAAAGTAATACAATGTCATATAAAATCAAAGACAGCAGGTAAAATACTACGACATTATTTAAAGGTAATGGCAAAAGTAAAAGAAACAATAGGGAAAAAAAGCATTTGATTTTCCATGTTAAAAAACATCTAGGGTGCAAATGAAATTAAAATGATCACTGTAGACTTTTTATTGAGAGCCATCCAGGGTTTAGTTGTTCAAAAAGTTTAGTCCACAAGATGGAAGTATTGCACATCCCTCAAATTCTTTTTTATTTTTTTTGCATGACAATGAAAATGCTGGTTTAGACCATAAACAGTAGCTGCATTCAAATAATGTGATTAAAACACACATAGAAGCTTTTTGTTTACCTCTGCCTCATATGGGTAGGAGTCCTCTGTGTTTATACCTCCATTGTCCTGGATGTAGCGGAAGGCATTGTCCATCCAGCCTCCATTGCAACCATAGTTGCCATAGTTACCAGAGCAGTCCACCAGCTGCTGCTCACTCAGGGACACCAGCGTCCCTGTCTTCCTGTAGTGCTGACCCTCCAGCGCTCCAGTCTGGAAGACAGTGAAATATAATGGTGACAAAAAAACATCTGCATTTCTGGAAGAGACTTAGACTTAGACATTATTGTCCTTGTGGGAAATTTGTTCACACAGTCATTTCAGTACAATCAACACAGAAGGACACATAACAGCAGAGGCAACCCACCGATGAAGAGAACATGACATGCAACATAAAACATGTACTAACAAGTTACATTTACCTTGGCAGTTTATTCAGTGCTGCAATGACAGAGGGTATGACTCTCCTGCTGAATTGGTCCCTTCTCTATTTAAGTGTTCTGTATCTTAGTCGGTATGGCAGTAATGTGAAGTTGGGATTAAGAGGTTGGTCCATGTCRTCTGCTTTAGTGAGTGCTAGTCATTTAATGGCTCTGTCGTTCAGGTCTGTAATTTTGSGTGTGGGAAGGTCAATGATTTTAGAGGCAGTGTGTGTGATGAGTTTGTTTTTGTTGGTGACAGAGAGCATGTTGTAAACAGGTAGCAAGTTKGGTTTTACATACTGAACTGAAGGACCAGCAGGAGCCACAGCTCCCCTGATTCTTGACAGGAGTGACKWAGCCCYMTTGCCTCCARTCMATAGTKTKTGGCA